AATTTCTGAGACAGAGTTCAGTTCAGGGTCACTGGCAGACCTTGATCCAGGAACCCCCAAAAGAGGACACTTGTATGTGGTCAAAGCAGACCCTGCTTTTCCACCCCCGGCCAGTCTCCCTGTTTCCTTTTTCCATATTTGTCTGCAGGAGCAGGGAGTGGGTGGGCTGGAGCTCATGGTCTGGATGACTCATTTCCTGCTCAGAATCAAGAGCCGAGTGTTGGTGGAAGCAGGAGGCCCACGACGGGGGACTATAGCCTCTGGAAGCCAGAGGTGGAGCTGCTCCCACACAACAAAATGAAATGAAACATTTATTGAGCACCCAGAATGTAAGTTATTTGGGGGAGAAAGGAGTGAGAAGGAAAGAAGAGCCATTTTGCTATTTTATCCATTTATTATATACAATATTAAGGCACGAGTTTAAGCAGCGAAGAATAGGAACATCTTTGGCTGACCAACAGCATCCACACTTGCTGTGGGGTATCTGCTGTGTTCTTGGACTCCCCCCATGCTGCACAGAGACCTGATTGGCTGTACAGCCTGGCCCACCACCCCTCACTCAGTCCAGACCAGCAAAAGGTTACACGCAGATCCCAGAGTTCGCTGGAAAGAACACAGCGCACTGCCACCAGCCACAGCGACAGACAGACAGACACACACACACACACACACACACACACACACGCACACGGCAGGCGAGAAGAGCAAGGGCACTGGGGCTGTTATTTTGGCTGAAATCAGGTGCCCACACTTGTCCCTGTTTCACAGAATTTTACAGATTCTGTCAGTGCCTCATTGAGGAGAAGGCTCCACTGTTTCTCCTCAAAAAGGAAAAAATACTTTGATTCAAATAAAACCACTGTGGATATATAGCTTACATTCTGTTTTGTAATAAATACTTAGAGGCGTCTATATGGGAACAGAATCCTAGGCAAAAATCACACATAAACACAACACCGGGCAACAAAATTTCAGGAGCTGATAGAAGAAAATGCTATCTATGTACTTTGTTATATAGAGAACAGTATTTTAATTCCGGAAAGAAGCAAAGTTTCATGACAGAGGAACACCTTAGTCACAGCATAACATCACAATACCATGCACTACACAGTACAGTGCGGTTTTATAGAATCCTACCAGGGTGTCTATTCTAAGAACACGCACTTACGCCTGCATATATGTGAGATGTGAGCACATATGAGGCTGTCAAGAAACAGATTTTTAAAAACAAACCCACAGGAAGTTGCACATACTAAGTACTGTCCTCCCTTGAGGACTCCCACTGTGGGAGGCTGTGAATCTGAAGACCCATTCCAAGAACTTCTTAAGGATTTTTTTTAAAAAAAAAAAAACAAAAATGGTGTGACTTACCTTAATGGCTATTTCATTCATCCAACAGTGCTATAAATAACTTGGGATTATTTCCAAAACTTAAATCCATCCTCAAAAGATGAACATTTCCCATTTTTAAGGAGACTCAAAGGAGGCCCCACTCTCACTGAGGAGTTCCCAAGTTTAGACTTGGGAATGCTGCTGTAATTAGTACTTAGTCTCCCAAAGGAGCACCTTTTGAAGAAGGGTGGGGTGAGATGAAACATTTGAATCTCCTGGATATAAGAAATTCCACACACAACTGTATAGTCATACCTCATATGTATGCACTTACATATACACGTTTTCATATACTATTAAGTTACTAAACGAGAGAAGGGTTACTAAAAAGAATGAGAAAAAAATGCCTATTAGTTCCAGAAGAAATTCATTTACTGAAATGTTGACCTTTGCAGGCTCTCAGCTGACTAGTTTCTGGTAACTTCTTAATTACTCGCCATCTACCATGGAGCCACACACCAGACCCAAACTCATTAAACCATCCTCACATCAAATAAAGACATTTTAAACACACTGATTAACTGGCAAAAAGGAAAAAAAGAAGGAGAAAAAGAAGAAGAAAGAAAACAGGAGCAGTGTTTGTTTTTAAAGCACAGACCATGTAGCCTCAGGTTTGGGGGTGTGGAAAAGCCAATGGTAGGCTGATATACTCTGGTTACTTAAAGCCTTTGCTATTTAAGCACATCTGTGGAAATCCACTTCTATGGCCACGGTCCTCCTCTGCTTTGGGAGTGCAAGACCATTCAGAGAACAGAGAAACCCACTCCCATGCTCCAGCGTGAACCCAGAGTGAGACTTTGGTTCTGGAAAACACATCTCTGCTCAGCAAAGCTACCTGCTGGAAACCTTCTGAGCCCCTACTTTATTTTTCACCATCTTCTAGGACCCCAGCCTCACCCAATGTCTGTGTTCACATGTCTGAGACTCAGCCAGCCACTGAGGAGGGAGAATTTTCATTCCATCAGCGCTTGGCACAAAGGTGCTTCCGTCACTGTGTCGTGAAGATGCAGATGGCTGAGGGCACTACCAGTGGACAAACAGGAGCAGTATCTGGCTTGTCTGCAGGAGCCACTCTGAGAGCCTCTATCCTGAACACCAGAACCACTGAATTCTCTGCCCCAAGTTCAGAACTCATTGGGAGCAACTATCCAGATTATCCACTCCAAGCCCTGGATAGTCACTCATGACTTCCAAAGAGCAGCAGCTGCAGGACTGAATCGAGAAGGTTCCGCCACTCCCTGCCCTCCCAACCACAGCTGGGGTGGACGAGGCAGCCCTGCCTACATGCCTGGCTAGATCGTCTGCTCCACACCATCTAAGTGTCATCCTCTGGGCAAAGCAGAACACTGAGAAACGAAAAGGCTAAGAAAATCCTGCATGTGCTCTAATATTTTGGAAAATAACGTGTTTTTCCTGGCAGCTTATTAATATGGACCTGCAGAGAATAATGATTCTCACACCCAGAACCAGGTACATAGAGAAAAATCTAGCATCAGAGACTTGAGTCTAACAACATTCATATTCCACACACTCCCCTGCACACACAGATGCTGCTGGCCAGCAAGTTCAAGGGTGAAGAACAACCACTCAGACACACCCTCACACAGCTGAAGCCCCACCCTGCACTCCTAAACAGACCCTCGAGTTCTGTAACAGACGGCACTGGGAACTTTTAAAGAGGTCCAGGCCTCTGGGCAATGTGGAAGTATTTTTGAGATTATTTTGTAGCCATGCTTATAATGAACACAAAGATTTCCATCTATGCCTGGAGTTTATGGGTAATTCTGGGAGTTCTCAGTTTAGTCCTGTTTCTTAGGCTCTGAGAAGTATGGCTGTGTGTGTGTATGTATGTGTGTATACCTGAGCATGCACACATAAATATAGACACTACAGATTAGGATAGAGGGACCAAGATGTGGTATAACACTGTTAGAGGCTGTATAGCCTATGGTTATACCCAACTCCTCACCTAAACCCTTGCTTTTGTTTTTGCTAGAGGGAACATACACTTGCCAGAGAAAGACAGATGGAGAAAGAAAATCACCCACCAGGGGCAATGGTCATGCTGAAATCCCTTCTCCATTCTTCCTCCTTTCAGAATTTTGGGCACACATCCACACATGCCTGGCATATTCCTCAGACTACTGGGTCCAGGACTCAAACTAATGGTCAGCCATGTGGAATACAGCTGCCTTACACCAGGCCACAGAACCAGCCCCCCAAACACTTGCTGTAAACCCTAGCTTCTCCTGGCTGTGAGGCTTTGGGCAGGGATTTAATTTTCCTGAGCCCCAGTTTCCTCACCACTGAAATCAAGATTAATAAATTCACTCCTGCTTCCCAAGTGGCTTGAGGACTAGTAGAAAGGTACTTACTACAGGCCTTGCATACAGTCAGCACTAAATAACATAGTTAGCATTGTTTTTCTGAAAATCAAATGCAACAAGGTACTGTACACTGCCCAGAGCTGTGAGTGTGTGCTCAGTATGGGCAATCCCTTTTTCCTATATGCAACTAGGCTTCAAGAATGCTATGGTTGGCCAGAAATCTCCCATAAAAGACGACCTTTTAAATCTATAGATCCCCTTTCTCAAGGAAGAGTCCCAGCAGATTAGGAGAAAAAAAAGGTTGACAAAGGTCACTGCACAATTGTGGTTGTAGCCCTGAAACATAGTGACACTGCGTTTATATTTTGACAATTAAGACAAACCGGCAATCCTGGGGGCCCTAGAAGGGTGAATGCGCCTCTTCTCATGTGCAGTGAGGTGTCTGGAACATGAAGAGCAGGCTGTAGGGAACCTGGGCTGTGGCTCTTTCTCTCACCATGCCTAGGGGGCACAGCCCAAGATCAGGTGGGTCCAGACACAGCAGTGGGGGCTGTAAGAGTTGACTTACCTTCCTATTTCTTCACACTTTCTGCCCTAATCCATCCCCAACATTAATTGGGGTCAAAATTTCCTTAAGAGAGTTAGCTGCCATCAGTTGAACTGCATCCCTGTGAACAGTGATGGGGAACAGAGCTGGGATGGCATCCCCAACCACACCCATACCCCGCCCCTTCCCCTGACGAGACCTCCTGTGTTCTGGTTTTACACCCCAGGGCATGGGACAACTCAGTGTGCCGCCTCTTAGAGCTGCCTCAGTTTCCCAGTCTGCAGGACACTCACTTGGACACTCAGTGTGAGACTAGAGGAGGCAGCGAGAGGGCAGGATAAGATCAGTGTCCACAGAGCTGAGCTGAGGGTAATCACACTCTGTCACATCAGATGGCTCAGAGGCCTTTCTGGCCAAAGCCATTGACTTTGATCCTCCCTGCACCCAGCCCTGTTCTATTGCCTCAATCTGAGGAGGCTGTAACTTTACCCAGGTTACCCCTCAAAACTAATCCTGGGACCAGCAGATGGTGTAATGGTTATGTCGCTGGACTCTCACATAGCCAATTGTAATTCAAGTCCCGGACCCCGTGGCTTAAAACTCACACTGTGTGTGTGTGTGTGTGTGTGTGTGTGTGTGTGTGTGCATGCCCAAAATCCCAAAAGAAGAATGAAGAAGGGATTGTAGCATGGCCATTCCCAAGTGGGGGGAGGGGTTATTTTTCATGTTCTGTCTCTCTGGCGAGTGCAAACACCATATAGCAAAAATCTCTCAAACAAAACAAAACAAAACAAAACAACTAATCCTAAAATAAGCTCCCAAGCAAAGTTTCCAGACTAGAACCGTCTTTGGTTTTCTATTAGGAGGTACTTGAAAAAGTTTCAGATCTTCTTGTCGTAAGTAAGCAGGAAGAAAGTGACCTGGGAAAACACAGACCAGTCTGACATGTAGGAAGAAAAATAATCAGGACCCTGCAAGAGCATCTGACAGTCTGGTGAGCTGCTCTTTCTCATCCAGCCCCCCAGATTTGTAAAGGAAGCCAATCTCCAAGGACTCAGTTGTGAAAGGTCACAGCAAAGATGCCTGTGTCTTCTGGCTTGGTTTCATGCCATTTCTGTCTCACTTGGTTAAGTTGCTCCAAACTAAAACCTCGAAACACCTGGCCACATGGTATATATACTGGCCTGATAGATTACAGAACAGGTTCATGGAAGAAAAACCTGAAGTCACAGAAGCCTGCCTGCTCATTGGCAGCAACAGGAGGAGTGCAGGGAGGAGAGGAGAGTGCAGAAAATGCTTGTGGGCCATGATACAAAAATATAGTGCAAGGTGCCAGGGCAGATTCTGTATGCCACCAGGACAACTGTTTGTAAACTGAGTCTGTCCTGAAAGCCTGACCTCAACAGAGCAACGGGATGGAAATACCAAGCTCCTTACGAGAGCTGAATGACAGAGCAAAACGCCAGTGCCGTGATCTTAGTGCAAGTGACCTGTGGACTCTTCTGCCTCACCCAGCATACCTGATTCACAGCCAGAATGAGAGAAATAGCCGCAGCCCAACCACCCAAAGCCAGAGGAAGCAGCCGGGAAGCCAGCAAATGGCTTTGTCCGGCTAGTCACTGTTTGATATAGCAGAACTGTCTGCTCTACAAATCCCACAGCTAAGGAATTCTACCATGTTTTAGTAAAAAGAAAAAAAAAATGAACAAACAACAAAAAGTAAAATTAAACATAGTAAAGCAGAGACAGAGGTGAACTCAGAAGTTTTGGGAATAAGGACCAGGATCTTAACACTGCCATCCTGTTCAGAAAATACTACTAAAGCCAGGAAAGCTAAGAAACCTATAATCTCCTGAAAATCCAAACCAAATGAGAAATTAGGCAAATACCACCTTTTATATTCCTCCTCAGGCCCTGGACATTTTTTCTCACTGCCACACCTACACAACTGACAGGACACCCCTGGGCTGGCACAGGTGATACTACATTATGCCAAGATGGACTCTAGAGGATTCTAGGAGGTTCTTCTTAAACAATACATGCTGAGAGGCAAGGAGAATGGGGGTATTCCAAGCATGGTCTGTGTTCAGGTTTTTCTGTTTATAACCAGAGAATGGGAGCACACGAGCCTCCCCAACAGATACATTTTCTGTACAATGAAAATTCCATTTCCTATTTCTTCTTAACTTTGTTTCCAAACCTACATAAATCTTCTCTCTTCCGCCATCATGTGTGACAAAAATTCAGAGCATTCTCTTTTATCTTCAGTCATGTAGGTCTCCTGGTTGTTTTAAACATTTATGAGAAGTGTTATTAATCTGAACTCTTTATCAGTTCACATCATGCCTGATTTCCCATCTACGACCTTCTTGGTCTCTCTTCTCCCTCTGCCACTTGCCTTGTTTCTCAGTGCTCCGTTATGAAATTCAACAGGGATGACGAGGTTAGATGAGAACTTCCATCATCTCTCCATCGGGGAACTCGGGCTTATGCAGCAGGCTGCTTACGCGGCCTCTGTGGTCAGGTGACTTCCCATGACCAGGAGAGTTCTCTGCCAAACAGAGGGGAGACGTCAGCAGCCCATTCACAGGAAGGGCGCAGCCTCTACACACTCTCTAAAACAACCCCACCCAGCCAAGATTCACCACACCATGCGCAGGGACACCACAGACCACAGAGGGAAAAAGCTGGATGACTGGTCCAGGGCTCAGGCACTAATAAAAGCAACCAGGATGGTGGTGGAAGAGGATGCCATGGGTGAAGATGACCTTTGGCCTGTGTGGGCCTTACCCCTCCCTCCTCTATCAGGTGCACACTTCAAGTCTGCCACTGTTTACATTTCCCCTGCCACATTTGGAAAATGCTGCCCAAGAATTACATCTCCCCAGCATACCCAGTTCACAGCCAGAATGACAATAGTACATTTACTTGTCTATCGTGGAGGTGAAAATAAGGAACCCCCTTGAGGAAACAGTTTACTTGGGCCCCAAATAGCCTCCAGGTGCTCAAAAAGATTCCTGCAAAGGGTATCCTTATAACAATAACTAATCTAAGACCAAGTTTATTCTTCCCCTGGACACTCTGGATCATTGCAAAGCTCATCCCTGCCAAGCTGCCTTCTCCTAAATATTTTCACCAACTCACTGATATGCCCCAAGGTAACCTGCTCTGCAGTCAAGTCTACCGTCTCCTTCAATCAGGATGTCTTCCCCTGAGGCCCGAATCCTTGCTGAGTCCAGGTCTATGACCCTGATGCCTCTGATGTATTTGGTGCCGAATACCAGCTCCGTAGCACACTGGAAGGCACTAATTCTCTAACACCCCTCAGAGGGTCTATTTTCACCCCTTTTTGGACAGAGTAGGTATGAAGCAAATAGTCCAAAGGTAGGCTCAAGATATGTACTCATTTTAAATGGTAATAAATTAGGAGTATCTAATAAAGAGCACACAAGGCCCATGGGCATTAGGAAAACCATAATCAGGGAGATAACCTGTCAAGTGAGAGCCAATTGGTGCTCTGCTCCCTCCTAGCTCAACAGAAGACTCTCTGTCTTAGGCCAGACAGTGCCATGATTCTGGGGAACAGGAGAAAGTGAAGACTACGTACCCAGTTTCTCAGCAGCCCCCTTGGCCACTGGGTGCTTCAGGACAGGGCTGTTGGAAGGGGTGGTGCTCAGCCTGCCACGGGTGGGCAGGGAGGCCATGTTAGGCCAAAAGAGTTCAGTGCTCTTGTCCGTCTGGGTGCTGCTGTCCTTGCTGCCCGTCTTTGAGTGGGCGCTATTGGCCGACATGGCAGACGCTGTCGGGGACACTGCTGAGGCAGGTGGGGGTGGCAGAAGGGGGGCAGAGGCATGTTCATGAAGCTCCTTCCCCAGCAACAACCCTGAGGGCAGATGACAGGTTTCTTAATGACATTCTATCTCTTTTCTTAAATGACATTCTTTTTTTCTAATCACTTCATTCATTCATTGATTCAGTCACCCAGCATTTAATGAGCATTTATTATGTACATGATAAAGTGACAAACAATGGGTATAAAAAAATGAAAGACCTAGTTCCTCCCTAAAAACAATGGTAGTTTTTTTTTTTTAGAAAGAAAGTTGTCAGGCAAACTGTCTATAATATGTTATACTATACATGTTATAATATATATATCATACTATATTATACTTATCTACATAAGTACATATTACGATACTCAATGTATTTTATACATAGATTACATATATCATGACCAGGATAGACAATCCCCAGGGTGCTATGGAAGAACAGAGAGGAGATACAGGAGAACAGCAGCCAGAGCCTGAGGCTGCAGGTCTTCAGAGACCATGCTTGCATCACCTAGCATGGCTGGCCTGAGGCAGTGCTTGTGTGCATAAGAAAAACCGAAAGGCCTCTCTGGTCCTAGACATGCTCCCATGTACCTGCTGCTCTTCTGAGGAGCCCTAAATTCTACCCTTTCCCTCTGTTTTTGCTAATGGATGGCAAGTCTTGCAGGCCAGTGTTCAAAACCAAACATGTTCCCTAGCAACCACTGAGTTGTACACATTATTCCCTCAAAGAGATCTCTGTGGTGGAGAGCCACAGCCCCCAAGAGACAGGAAGCCAGCCGAGCTCCTAGGACAGGCCACTTAGCCCTCTCCTTCCCCTTATTTGAAAAGTAGCAAGGCTAGGGTGGGGAAGAGGGTCTGCTGCTATGGGAAAAGGAGGCAGTGTGTTCAGAGCTGTCCATTTTCCACAGACTTCCTGCAAAACCAGACAAGAGGGTGACACTTTTTTATTTTCAAATATAGCACACATTCAGAAGTGCCAGCACTCAGAAGGCTAGCCTACAGAAAGTGCAGTAAGCACAACCTAGTACCTGTTCACTAGCCAGCAATTCATAAAGTTCCCTCACCAGGGCTGTTTCAAGGTGCCCATTCATAACGAGGCGTACCCAGTTTGTCTATAGCAGTGCTTCTCAAATGCAAGTGCACATTAATATAGTCACACCACATGATGACATTTCAGTCAATGGTGGGCTGTTTATCCAACAGTGACCACCCCCCAAGATTATAATAGGCTATACCATATAGCCTAGGCATAGAGTAGGTGTACCACTTAGATTAATGTAAGTATATCCTGATGTTTGCACAGGGACAAAATCACCTACCAATGCATTTCTCAGAGCAAATCCCTGTCATTCATTAAGTGATGTGTGATTGCACTTGACTACATGGTTACAATGAAGCTTCAGTTTGGTGAATAGGGTCTGCCTTTCTTCTTTGGGGCACAGAGACATGCTCCCGCCATGTTTATCCAGCCAGCTGGTCCAGGACTTAAACCACACAGTCACATGGGATCCAGCTCCTTAACCACCATGCTACCAGCTGACCCATGCTAGCCTTTCTAACAAGCTTCCAGGTGATGCCAGGCTGCTGGCCCATGGACCAAACTGTGAGTAACAAAGGTCTTTGTCCAGGCACTTCACACATCATCTCACTTTCTGTGTCACATCATCAAGAGGCTGGGACTGGGAGGATGTTCTTGTATGGGTGCCAGGATGAATATATCAACAGTCAGCGCTCTCCCTTGGGAGCCCCTGGGCAATTCATAAAGTTCCCTCACCAGGGCTGTTTCAAGGTGCCCATTCATAACGAGGCGTACCCAGTTTGTCTATAGCAGTGCTTCTCAAATGCAAGTGCACATTAATATAGTCACACCACATGATGACATTTCAGTCAATGGTGGGCTGTTTATCCAACAGTGACCACCCCCCAAGATTATAATAGGCTATACCATATAGCCTAGGCATAGAGTAGGTGTACCACTTAGATTAATGTAAGTATATCCTGATGTTTGCACAGGGACAAAATCACCTACCAATGCATTTCTCAGAGCAAATCCCTGTCATTCATTAAGTGATGTGTGATTGCACTTGACTACATGGTTACAATGAAGCTTCAGTTTGGTGAATAGGGTCTGCCTTTCTTCTTTGGGGCACAGAGACATGCTCCCGCCATGTTTATCCAGCCAGCTGGTCCAGGACTTAAACCACACAGTCACATGGGATCCAGCTCCTTAACCACCATGCTACCAGCTGACCCATGCTAGCCTTTCTAACAAGCTTCCAGGTGATGCCAGGCTGCTGGCCCATGGACCAAACTGTGAGTAACAAAGGTCTTTGTCCAGGCACTTCACACATCATCTCACTTTCTGTGTCACATCATCAAGAGGCTGGGACTGGGAGGATGTTCTTGTATGGGTGCCAGGATGAATATATCAACAGTCAGCGCTCTCCCTTGGGAGCCCCTGGACCATCAGGGAGATCCATGCTGTCATCTCTGTGTCCTTCCAAAGTCCATCAGAGAAGAGATGAGAATATCTCTGAGGCACTGAGCAGTGGCCCATGAACGTGTACCTCTGCCTGGCCCGTCAGAGTCCCTCCTGATTTTGTGACACATGGACACCAGTCACAATGATGAAGAATATCGTGCAGACAGAACAGCACCTTCTCCTTCAGACCTCAGACTGAATAGTGGGGTCAGAGACAGCAGAGAGGCCCCTGGCTGGCTTTGCCTGTCACAAACAGGCTTCTCCCAGGGGCTTCCATCGGAGCTGAGCAGATTTCAAACTCCTCCACCAGGCAGTGCGAGCATCTAACATGGCCTCCTCCTGGCTCCCTCCGGGCTCTGACTAGGCTGGGAGCTAAGTGCTGGAGACAGTCTTTGATGAACTCAGTTGCTGTCCACACACGTCATCTTTGACATGCATTTCCTTTGAGGGCAGGGGCTGCTGAAGCCACCAGTAGAGGGACTTCAAACAGAGATTTTGGCTGGGAGCCTTTGATCACCCCAAGTCTGTGGGGCTCATATGGAAGTTCTTATTCCCTTTGGCACTAAGCAGCCAGCTCCTGGGGTGGGGGTGGGGGATCCAAGGCAAGGGGAAAATGGCTCTGGGCTCCACAGAGAAACACAACTACACACAAACCTGGGGAACCAGCAAAGGCAGGCCAGACACCTGAAGCTGCCCGATAGAGGGGAAGGGACAGAGGTTGTGTGTGCAGATGCCACTTGCTTCCTCTCCAGGCTCCCAGGTAGTAGCCCAGCTAGGGAACACCCCACCCTCACCCAGGAAACCCACTCCTGGCTAAGAGCGCACTTGAGGAATTCCCTCAAAATCCTGTGTAATGGCAATGCAGTAAAATCAGCCCACCAGCCCTCTGCACTTTTTCCAACACATCCTCTCCCCACTCTCTCCCCCATTATCCTGTTCTGCCTTCCTCCCAGGGACCCCTCAGGCGGAGCAGGATAGGCACTGCTATCTTTGGTAGACACTGGAGCAGAGGAGAAACAGCCAGAGCCCCACTCACAGGTTTGATACCTCGAGGTCTTTTCCACTAGAACAATTTTTGTTTTAAGGCTCAACTTTCAACAACAGATGATAATTACGATGAGAGTCAACTCGTGGTTAACAGCTACTCTAGTGGTATAGCCTTTAGAATTTAGTGTTTCTACATACCTCATATAATTTCTACAATCAAAAAATGACTCTCTATCCTCTCCATTTTACAGATGAGTAAACGAATAGGTGATAGTCCATAATATTTCCGTATCTCATGTGTGGTAGAACCAGGGTACCACAAAAGTGTTAGGACTCTCCACCATGAGGGTGCCTGGTGATGTCATGTGAGTCTTGCTTTCAGACCCCAATCTGAATGAGTGTGGAGCTCACCTATGCTCCCCTTCCAGGTCTTCTCTTCCTTCTTCTCTTCGGCCAGCTGGCTGCTGGTGAGAGAGGTCTGGCGGGAGTGTGTGCCAGTGGCCGCTGCAATGGACGGGACTGAGCGGGCAGGCCGCAAGCTCGAGGAGTCCGCCTTCCCAGCATCTTTACGGGATCGCTGCTGAAGGACCTTAATCATGGCATCCTTCTCTATGATTTTGGCATGGAGGTTTTTAATACTGTAAAACAAAACAAAGCAGTCTTAATATAAAGCCATTGGGTTAGAAAACACTTTTAGTTCGAAAAATGTGAAATATTTCTCTGAGGCTATTCAGGGACTTCAATTATAATTCAGGGCTCAAGGGTTAAGTGCATATATGTCTCGAAATATTTATAATCTCCGAATGACAAGATGTATCTTTTTAGTAGAGCAGAATGGTGCACCTTCTCTGCACCTCAGGAGACTCTGGGACTTCTGGGAGGTTCCCTGAGATGACTGCGACGCCTGTTAAGGACTCCCTGGACCAAGCTGAGTTCAGGTGCCACGCTTGGAGGGTCTAGTACTGAGGGACAGGGTGATAGGGATGCATGGAACTCTGAAGCCTCAATCAGGATGAGCTTTCAACTAAAGTATATACATTCCTCTATTTTCTGAGGAAAAAATGGAAAGATGTACTGATTCTCTGGAAGATGATATCCCCTTCAACAGATAAAAATGAGACCCATTAACTCCTGAGTTCTTTTGTCAACTCTGATAATAACTCACTGACACTTCTAATGGCTCAGCTATGCAGCCCTATTTTCACATCTTCCAAAGCAGAGGCTCTGGAGAGTAGGCTCCGAGAGCTCAGGTATCAGAGAGGGGCAGGCTAGTTTTATCATGTCAAGGGCTGGAACTCCTGTGTTCATTACCAGAATGCATTCATTCAACAGGTTCTGTATTTCTGGCAGGAATATATAAATTCTGGTTTAAAACTGTGGAACCTTTAGAATATGATCCACTTCTCCTTTCTTGCTCATAATGTGTAGAAGGCTGCAGAGACAGACACCCAGAACTAACACGGGATCTGGGTTCCCTTGTCATTAGACTCATCCTCCACCTGACATGCAATTACTACTGTCTCCAGCACCAACCCTGCTGCTGAGTGGAACCACTGGCTGAGGGCTGAACCTTCTCCTACTCTCCAGGGAAGGGTGGGGAAGGACACTTCTTGGAGACCCCAGGCTCATAGCCCACAGCTGTTCAGAACTGGCCTGGCGAGGCTGGGGAGTGCAAACATCACAAGCAGGTCTATGGGAGTCTGGAGGGGAGCAGCTGTGCAGGGCTGTCACTTACGTGTACTCCATGTCCTGACACCTCCTGTTGGCCTGCACCACCTCCTCCTCCTCCTGCCAGAGGTGGGCCTCCAGTGAGCTCTCACCATAGCTGCCATTCCGTGAGTGGTTAATGATCGTAGTGTCCCTGGTAACACAGGACATGCATTCCATCACATAGCAAGTAGGCTTTGTTTCAACGCAAACAGAACAGAGAGGCTGGTGCTCCGCCCATTAGGGCTGCCATCTCCCCTCCTAAGCTCAGCGATCAGCCTTGTCAGATGCCCACACAGAGTACAGTGCTACTGTAGGTGGACGGGCCACCAAAGGACACCATAACAAAAACATCTCTCCACCAACCCCTCAGCCCCCTAAGTCCCAGGAACTCTCTTCCTAAACTTGATAGAATTAAGACAGTGCTTAAGGAAACGAAAACACAGTTCAGCAGCCAAAACTCCCTGGTTCTTCTACTGATAACACTGTAAGCTCTGTGGCATGTCATAAATAGATCTGGCACCTATAGATTTAACTTACTGAAATATGGATACTATTATTATTATTACTACTACCGTATTTGGTGGTATTTCTATGATTTTTTTTTCAAACTTGGCCTATTTATTTTGCCAGAGTTAAAAGTGTGTTATTTTTAGAATTTTTGTAGTATGTGATTTAAAAAAAAATGTGCTAGAAGGTATGAGAGAAGCAAGAAAGCATGCCCTATGGGGAATGGTCACATTGTAATTCTTTCTCCTCCATCTTCCCTCCTTTTAGAATTTTGGTAACACATACACATGTACCTGGAGTACTTCTCAAGCTGCTGTGTAATCAGTCATGTAGGATCTAGTTGCCTTAATCACCACACCACTGGCTGGCCCCGGAGTTAAAGTTTGATTTCTATTTCTCTCCCATTTTACTCCCATGCAGTAAAATGGGAGCCCAGTAAATACTTAAAGTTGAGATTATCCTCTTGGGTAGTGAGACTCCAAACTGAAGTCTTCCTTCACATTTGGGTTCTGCCTGCCTTCTTGTTTTAGGAGCCCGCCTAAGATTCCGGTCAGTGCAGTGTAACAAACATACTGGGCACCAGGGGAAGAGGATGCAGACACACAGGTCCAATAGGTGGCATAGAGGTTAAGGCACTGGATCACACATGGCCAACTATGTGGTTTGGGTCCTGGACTTAGCAGCTTAAAAATCACACCAGGTGCATGTATGTGTGTCTCAGAGGAGAATGGAGGAGAAGGGATAGTGACATGGCAATCCCTTTCTTACTTTCTCTCTCTCTCTCTGTTGCTCTAGTGAGCACACACACACTCTATAGCAAAAACTTTAAAACTTAAAAAAGATGACGAAGACACATACTGTGTGCTGGGCAAGTTCAGCTGAGGTGGGTAGAGAGGGGGAGGGACAGTCATGGTAGATTAAAAATCAGCTTAGTTGCAAACAAGTGTCTGACTGAGCGCTGGCCAGAGATAGTTATTCCTCCACCCTTTGTCAATTTAATTATTCCTAATCAACAGCCATTAAAAATAGATAACTGCTCCATTTAAGTGTTATATCTAAGATGAAAGGCATGATGATGCCTCTGATTACACGAATACCAAATTAATAAAAAATGATCTAGCGAATTATTTCACATCTCCTTAACTTCATATTCCAATGCTATCATCATACTGAAACCCTTAAACCTCTTTTCTTGAACACCAAAATGGGCCCCAATAGGCCCTCTTTCACTCCTTTTAACAACAGCTATCAACGACTAAACATTTCTGTTATGCATGGGTGGCTGAGGTGCGATCCACGGCGGGGTCTCACTTAGTTCTCACAACTTGTACAGTAGTTGTTGTGATCTTTGGTTTACAGAAGAACAAACTAGTGTTTGGTGACTTTCCCAAGAACACCCAATTAGTGAAAGGTGGAAATGGACTCAAACTCAGATATTTATGACTCCAAAGTCCATGCTCTTAACTGTTACTCTATATTCCTGGAAACTTCATTTGTCTTTATGAAGACAAACTTAGCAAAAATAAAATAAAAACTTGTAGAATGAAGGTAATAACAGCACCTGCTCTCAGGGCTGCTATGAGGGTTATATATTCCTCTAATCTGGCCCTTGATACATACCCAGTGTTAAAGAGTCTTAAAATATATTTTCATGTCATTCTTAATGCTCACACAGTGTGTGGATGTACTTTAAATTACTAAATGAATCATCTTTCACTGGACCATTGACTAATTTCAGTGGATCAATATTTTCAACCACATTGGATGAATATCCTAGAATACAAATATTCAGGCAGTTATATAATAATTTCCTTATGTTAAATGTCTTGAACTAGAACTGAAGGGAAGGTACATATTGCCAAATTATCCTCCAGAAATGTTAAACCATTTTGCTTTCTTTTTTCAATTGCCAGAGGGTATGTGCACTTGCCAGAGACAGAGAGAGCGAGAGAGAGAGGAGACAGAGAGGAGACAGAGAGGGAGAGAGAGAGGGAGAGAGAACCTCCTACCCCCCAATGTGCTCTCACACACAATCCTCTTTCCTCCATTTCGCTAACCCACAAAAATTTGGGGCATGCACACACATGCAGCTGGTGTGCTTTTCAAGCACCCAGGGGCTGGAATTTGGATTACTCTCAGTCATGTGGGATCCAGCTCCCTATGCACAGTACTTAACTGCTGTGCTACCAGGCTGGCCCCCATCTTGCTCTTCAATTAGCATGAAAGTCATTTAAAAATTACTTTTAGATGTCCTCACTCCATGGGATGGGCCTCTGGACCTCTCTGGACCCCTGCGTTTGTTCTGTTTAGATTTTGTCCCATTGTGCTTTGACAGCCTCCAGAGCCCATTGGCCTCACCTCTCGGCTGCAGCAGTGGCTGCAGCATTCATGGCGAAGTGCCGAATGGTGCTCTCCTCCAGGTACTTCTGCTCCCACTTGGTCATGTCAGCCTCCAGGGCCAGAATCCGCTCCTCCTTCTCCCTCACCAGCTCCATGAGGGCCGGAGCATTGTATTCTGGCATGCTGGCTGGCTGGCCATTTCCATGTTTCTGGAGAAGTAGAAACAACATTTTGATGCTTAAAATGGTCTCTAAAGAAGGCCTCACTCAGCTGTCTGCACAGTTACCCTACAGAACACACCTGTTCCCGAGATTCTGCAGTAATTCACATACACTGCCATCATGCCTGCATCCCCTCTCCCCAACACATACAGTCAGGGCTTGGTGGATTCTAACACCATGTCACCTCACCAGCGAATTTCTCTATTATGTTTAATTCTCACGGGGCTCTACGAAACAGACAGTATCAACCCAATTTTACAAATGAAAAACTAAGCTCTGAGAGATAAAATTAATGGTTCAATGTCTACCAGCTAATCAGCAGCAGGGTCAGGATCCATATCTGACTCTCTCTGGCTATATAGCTCAAGGTCTTTGCATGACATGAAGTGGCTTGTCCAATGTCTTAAAGTTAACTTATACCAAAAGGAAGAATGGGAATTAAGTCTTGGCCTTCTGGTCTGGGGCATTTTCTCTACAATTCAAGAAAAATGATTCCAATTGTTTGTTTCCCCTATAGCTGGGAAAGAAAATGGGAAGGCACAGAACGTGGGAGTGAGATGCCCTGCCATGCATGCTTTCCCAGCAATAGTCTGTCACTGGGAAAGGAGGAATTAATACCTGCTCCACCTAGAGGTCTGAAAACAGGGTCAAATTGCATATAAAGCACAAGACCTCTACAGCAGGGCAAGCTAATTTTTCAGGCTTTTCTTTTCATCTATGTCAGGAAGAAGAAATAAAGCAGTTGTTATCTGAGCTACTCAACAAGCTGAACATATTCACATTTCAGACTTTTTTCTTTTAACTCAGGTATATTATTTCCTCTAAAGAGTATGATGTAGAGGTTGATGGGGTTTTGAGGGGATTCTGACTTCAGACCAGTGGCAGACCTCAGGGTTAGGGACCCAGTTTGAGTGTGAGCCACGATCCTTAATACCGAAGGGAGAATGATTTCACCCAAGCTATTCTGTATCCCTATCAACATTCTCTTCATGTTTTCCAGTGGTCACAAACGTTAAATGAAGAGTTGGTTGCAAGGTGAGAAGTATCTGAATACTTTATTCAGAACCACATAATGCCCTAGACTAAGAAGAGGATTGGGAGATTATTTAGAGCAACAGCTGGGCATTTGAGCTGCACTGATGGAATCTAATCCTACCAGAGAAAAGAGAATGAATGGGTCTATGGGATTTTTTTGTAAACACTGCAAGGGGGATCTTCCAAAGCTCATAGAAAATGCTTATAATTTTTAAATAACTATGTATGGGTTTCAAGATTTTTGCACCAAAATAAACTCATGCTTTAACTCCATTTTTCCAATAATTTTTTGAAGTACCTTTCTATTCAATTTTTTAAAGCTACAAATATAAATATAAATTACTCAAGGAAGTAGGAGCCTGCCAGTGACCAACATTTAGGAAAGAAGAGAGAAGAAGGCATATACCTGTCCTCATCTGACCCACACAGGAAGCCACTGACCCTATCTGGCCAGCACTTGGGCTTGAGCAGGAGGACAAACAGCCAGTCCACTGAGATGAAAAGATCTCCTATTTTTAGAAACTTTCCAAGAAAAAGCTCCCACAGCTTCACTGTGCTGCCATCTATGCTTGTCAATTTCTATTTACATCCCTCCTGTTACCATTGCAGCTGGCTTATTTTGGAAGAATCTCTTAACCTCACATGAGATCATGACGATTTTTTTACAGGCCCCCTTAATTCAGGTCTTCGAGAGTTAATTTCAATGAATGCATGAATTTTAACATTCAAGTGTCCAGAGACAGCAAGATCTAGTGAGTAAATGAGGCAAGAAAAAAAGATAGAGGGTTAGGCAGGGCAGTTTCTGCAGCCTATTCAACTAGTAGATAAATATGTACTGAGCTCATTCTGAGGGCTGGGCAACAGTGAACAATACAGATAAAAATCTCTGCCCTCAATGTGTTCACCTGGGAGGAATGTCTTAATTAGCTACATGACCTTGGGCTAGTCCCTTAACTTCCCTGTGCCTCATTTTCCTCCTCAAGAACATTCCCACTTTCTCTTTCCTGCCTGACAGAATTACTGTGGATATAAGATGAGAAAATTATTTCAATCTTTTTGAAAAAAAAAAAAAAAAAGTAAAAAGTAATTGTGATGGCCAGTTTCATGACACTGAATCTGTATGAGAAATTGGGGTTCAGTTCCCAGGTTGGCCTGTACATGCCACGTACAGGCATGCGTGCCTGAGATCCTGGTTGGTTGAGAAGGCAGTGGCGGGAGCAGGCACAGCATGAGACCCTGTGAAGGATGTCTGTCTTTCTCTCTGTCTCTATGTCTCATGAAAGAAATATGTTAAAAACCAAAAAGCTAAAATTGTGAGTTCTTAAAAATGGGAGTTCTCTTCCCTCTTTTATCTTTATTCCTCTTAGCTTCTAACGACACTTGAAGTGCTACTTTACCCCTAAGTAGAACAGTTTGCTTGGAGTACTGAGATCTGCCCACTAAGAGCTTCTCATTCCTGCCTGTCTCATGGTCCTCATCTATCTTTCTCCCCTCCCCCTCTTCAATTAGCCACATGTCTGTTGCTCTTTTTTTCTGTGGAAAAGTTGGGGGTAAGGGAGGATTCAGGAGAAGATACCAAGAATGCCCTAAGCTTTCAAATGACTGCAGGTAATGAGAGCATTGAGAAAAGGAAATTATTCTTTCTTCATCGATTGCTAAGTGCCAAACACAGAGTAAGCCCTTACCAATCTTCCTCATTTTACCAAGAAAGAAGTTGCTTCAAGATTACTTGCCCAGGGCCACTTGTCTGGTAGGAGGAGGTAGTATTCAACCCTGGTTGGTCTAACTTAGGAGCCCATCTCTGAATTGAAAAATGACCCCATGCCACTCTGCTCATCTCCAGTTTACTCAACTTTCTAGAAGGGTCCAGAGTACCTAGCAGGGATAACTGCACCTCATTTGGGGACTCTGCGTGGTTATAGGGGGCCAGGTAGGGTGGCTCAGCTTGTCCTGGTGTCAGTGGAAGGGCAGAGACCTGCGTGGGTGTTGATTCCATGAGCACTCTGAGCCATTGTCTCCAAAGTCTCCTCAATGCAAGGCTCTGGAGGAAGTGGCAAGGCAGTAGGACTGGTCTGCTTTGTTTGAGATGACCAGGGGCTTTGTTAGAATGTGACTTCAGCATGCTTACTAAAGGGGTCAGATAAATGCCTTGCCAATACTTGGGGTGAAGGGGCATGGCACGGTATGGACCATGATGACTCTGCCAAAGCTGCTCCCATCTGTGCCAAGAAGAGGCAGGCATACGCGTGAGCTGTGTGGGGTGAAGGAGAGTGGATCAGAGAGGCCTCTGGATATGCTTCCCTCCAAAGGTTGAGTTTCTCCAATGACTCTGTGTTCTAGGGTGGACCCCAAGTCCCCTGTGAGGCCCACAGAGCTGCTCCCACAATAGCCATGAGCTCCAAACATGAGTTTAACCAAAATCTATCCGTGACTATATTAGTCACATGGAACTGGTGAAAAACTCAAGAAGTTCTTGGTGAATTTTCTGGTAATTAAGATAGCCAGGTCTTATGATCATAATCCTGCCTCATCTTCCCAGGTGGAGCCCACAAGCGTACACCATCATGCCTGGCCAGGAACTGAACCCAGGCCTTCAGCATCTTAGCAGCACACATCATCACAGCTAGAGTTAAGAACGATTTTACCTTTTCTGGTTATAGAATGACATATGCTTACTGGTAAAATTATTAAATAAAAAGGCAGTAAAGAAAAAAAAAAGTGAAATAATACGTATCTTTTTAATAAAGAGGCAAGAGCAAAGGGAAAATCCCTATGTGCATTTCCTATCATATGAGACAGATTAATACTTCCATTTTTTTAAAAAAAGAAGGCAACACTACTTTTAAAGAGATGCCGAGTTTCAAAGTTCTGTTTAACTCTACAGACTGTCTTTCCCCTCTTCAGCCTCATGCCAGCCCTGCATGGCTGGGGATCTGCTGTTAGCTCCCAAAGACAAATACAAACGGCAAGTAGAACAATTTCCCTGAGAACATCAATCCTGGGATTTCCATGCTCTGCTGGTATGCCTAATCTGTCAGCAGCTGGTACATA